CAAGACCGTCTCTGATTCCATCCACGAGCCACTGGTAGGGAGCAATTTTAACTAGGTGGATTGTTTTAATATTTAAAAAGTAAAGACTATTTTATGTTATTTTTATGTACGTTTCTTCACAAAACTATATTCATACAATCGAATATTTTGTACCAGGTATGTATAATTGTATACCCATCACACATTTTATTTGAACAAATAAGTTTTTATAATTTTATTTTTAATTTTAGCCCTTATATTATGGCTAGCGATTTAGAATATAATTATGATATTCAAAATTTATTTCAAAAAAGTTTTGGCTCAAGACCATAGAATGAAAAAATTATTAAAAGAGAATGACCAATGCCTAAATTAAATATAAATATGTCAACAAAAAAATTTATTTGACATTTTCACGATAAAATTTATGAAGATGTAAAATGGCTTTGTGGTGCATAAAAATACAAAAATTGTTTTGTTGGCCTTGCCTACTATTTTCGAATGAAATTAGTGTGTGGAATAAGAATGACTTTGACGATTTAAATAATTTGAGTATAACTGGCAAAAGACACGAAAATCGTAAATCTCGCATCGATTCTTTCTTAAAATTGAAGCAATTTGAAAATCAAAGCGGAATAGAATTTAACATTAGTAAACAATATAAAATAAGTATTAAAAATTATAATGAAGTTACGGCTAATAGATATAATATATCTAAATTAGTAGATGTTATCGAAAAAAGAATTGGTATTTAGAGCGCGTAGGCAATGTATTGAATCTAATATAACAGAAGTAATTAATTATATTGAACTTGCTTATTTATTAAGTGCGTTAGATAATCCATTAATTAAAAATACATTTAGAGAAGTCTACGGTTTTTATTGGCTTATCGAATAAACGAATACGAATGGACCTTAGACAATCACTGACTGATTGCCCCTGGAAGTCGGCTTCTTACAGAAACACAGCTTCCCTATCATCAAATGTCACGGCACGCCACTGATAATTATATACGAACTTTCGGTCTGGATTCCGAGCTCCTGTCTCTAGCTTTCCATGTCTGGTTTGCCTATCATTTATTTAACTCTGATTTTGAGATTAAAGAAGAACAGATAGGCAGACAGACAGGCGACAGTGGGAATTTATACGTGTACAGTTGTTTTCAAATTGCATCCCAATAAATACATAAAGCAAAAACAGCATATTTTTAACGCACTGCATAAAAAATATTTTCCTGACGCTTTGAAATGCTTCAGTTATGACAATTTTTTCGCAGTCTTAGAAACATCAAGTTCATAACCGAAAATGGAATAAATTACGAAGTTGAAATTACTATTCATTCCAATAGTAACTTGGTAATGTTATTTTTCTATAACGTATTAAAATGTTTACTTCCGCATTTAAAGGATAAGTAAATAATATCAATATAAGAAATTATTTTATGTTTCAGAGCCTTTCATTTACGAAAGTGAATAGTCAAATTTCATTTTCTATTTTGTTACAAGTACCCCAGTATTTTCTTATGTCCATTGGGGAAATTATGTTTTCCGTTACAGGAGCATCGTATTTCTATTGTCAGGTAAAGTGAATAATTCGACTGCTAATACGTGAGTTAAAGAAAATACAGGATGTCACAAATTAAACTTGACGTTCCCCAGCTGGCTACAGAAAAAGACTTTGAAGATTTAAATAATTTGAGTAAAGCTGGCAAAAGACACGAAAATCGTACATCTCGCATCGATTCTTTCTTAAAATTTAAGCAATTTGGAAATCAAAGCGGAATAGAATTTAACATTATTAATCAGAAAGTCATGAAAGTTTGTGATTGCCTTAATGAAATGATGGGAAATTTTGTAAAGCAAAAATAGTAAGTTCAAGAAATCACCACTAGACAGCGCTTTTTAAGCTGAAATAGTGGCATATTGGCCTGCAATATCCCCAGACTTGAATACATGCGATTTTTTGCTCTGAGGCTATCTCGAAGACTTGGTCTACCGTAGAATAACTTCTCTGTCAGACCTTAAAGACAGCATAGTACGTCATGTGCGTAACATTTGAAGGCATACACTGCATGCAACAGTTCAACATGCTGTTTTACGTTTTCAGATGGTAGCAGAAAAGAGTGACATCCTCTTTTGAACATTCACATTAGTCAGGTAACTTGTGGAGCTCATTGTTATGTTCTGTATAAAGCTATAATACGCAGCATAGTGGTAGTTTTTGGAACTTACTTTTTTGCTGTAGGAAAAGTTTCCATCATCTCACCACGGCATTCTCAAGATTTCAAGACTTTCTGATAAATAGATTTTGCTATAGTCAGCTGGGAAATGAGACACCCTGTACATCAAAGTAATCTTTCTGTAGGCACCAAAGTCTATGAAATCTGTAATTCAAGCGTTATGGATGCTGACACCTACGTGTGGAAATTTGTTGGTTATGATTATTACTGAGATCAAAATATTTGGAAAGCAAGTAAGATAAATATTTTTACTTTTTAAATTTAAAAAAAACTATAGATTTTTAAACGTTTTCTGTAAAATTAAGTAATCTTTAAATATTCAAAAAGACTTATTGTATAATTAAATGTTAAAATTTAGCATGAAGTAATAACGCTTTAAACAGTGTTACGTAGTTAACGAACACTTAACCTAAACGAATCGCAATCCTCTTCCGATCTTTTTTTTTTTTTTTTTTTTTTTTTTTTTTTTTTTTNCGTGACGTCACAGTTCGACCAATGGATCGCTTGATCCTAACCCATTTTATAGTTCTGAACGCATCATAAGTTGGCAGTTGTCAGCGGTGAGAACAGGGTACCCAATGCCCTAGGGGTTGCAATAAACAATTAACTTATATATACTAATAAAGCACTCTTTCCCTAAAACTGATTGAAATGCGGTTTAGTCTGGTTTGACACAACAGTCAACTTAGGGTTGGAAGGACTATATCTATCTCAATTGATTTATGTTCTATGTTAATGAACAATATTAATTCTATGAAAGGAAAAATACCCCCTTCCCAAAGATCTCTGAATTTTTGGATTCGGAAATTCGAAACTTGGTAAAATGCAAAAATTCAGGGGTTTTCTCTGCATGTATATATGGATTTCTGTTTATATAGATATGTTATATAGATTTGTGTGTGGGGACACGATTTTATTTACCCACTTTAAAGCTTCATAACTCATGGACTTTTTGGTCGAAAATTTCTGAAATTTTGCAGGGAGTTTTGGGTATTAGGGGAATTGATGCTATTAAATTTTGGTGGCTGAAGGTCGAGGAAATGGAAAGATTGAGGGTCACTTGTCATATCTAGATTAGGGTCGGACTTACGGAAGATGTTATTAGTTATTAGCTTTTACAATTTGTTTTTACAAAACTGATTTTTATCCTTAAAATAAGGTCTTTTGCCATTTTATAATAATTAATAATATAAAAAATTTTTAAATAAAATCTCATAACAGATGACGCCCCAACACAATTTTAACTTTTTTCCTGGGAAAGTTAGCTGGAATTTTTTATGTAAACATTTAATCTTATATAAGTTATTTATGTAAAATATATATATATTACAAGACTACAGAATAACTCCAATTAATTCTTATATTTTTGTTATTTCAGTCTTACGAATTCTTTTTGTACGCAGTTCTAATGGCAATAGCTATGTTGATTTTCTTCATAATGATGTATTGCTCTAAAGGTACAAAACACGTTCGAAGAAATTCCGAATTCCAAAGGGTGAAATCGGAAATAGTCAAATTATCATTGAAAACAACAGAATCCTGATTTACATGTGAATTTGAACCTGTACAGAATGTTTCATGTTGCAACATCTTCATTCCGTATTTTCATAATGCCGTGTAATCAGTTATTGGGCCGAAATTTGAAAAATTGTAGACCTATAAATTCCCACTTTCATCTCTCTGTCTGCCTTTCGGTAATCTCGGGAACGACGATAGATAAAATAGATGAAAGTCAATACCAGATATGGAAAGTTAATGGCAAGAGGCTCTGATTAATTAACTGCATATGAACTTTCGGTCTGAACCGGAAGTCACGTGATTTCAATTCAAAAATTTTCCTCGGAACAGAATTATATAGATAACCGGCACGACTCTGTTGTTATCAGGAAAAGTATCATGTACAAGGGCAAGCCACTACTAATTTGAGATGGAAAGCATATATTTTAAATTAAATGAATTAAAAATGGCCCACCAGTTGCCAAGCGGTTCCGTTCCCTGAACACTGGGAGTTCGGTCGTGGGTTTGCGCCGCGCTAGGATAGACTGGCTACTTGGAGTTTTCCGGGTTTTCTCCATATCTGTAACACCTGAATAGGGACCAGTTTTTCTTAAAAGACCTCCCGGAAGTCATTATTTCCCTTGCGTAACACTACCATCCAAAGCAGGCAACGGGAAACCACTCTGGTACTAACTTTTCCAAGCTTTCCGAAGAATCACTTGGCTCAACACTGATCACTAATTAACTCTGCGCCAGGTGCTCACTGACGTCAAAATCATCTGATATGGCATGAAGAAGAAAAAATTAAAAATATGATTAAAAATTGCAGCCCGGCGTTGTGACGATGTCATAATAATTTTTGTTCGTTTATAATGATAATTAATTACGAATAAAGTGCGAGTATGTACAGTATTCATAGTTACATTAGAATGAATTTCACAGATTGCTCATATGTGAGTTCATTAACCATAAATTGATTTAACTTAAATTTTAGGAAAATTTGAATAAATGAATTTTAGTAAAATTATATTTTCAAAAAATAAATTTGTTATAACTAATGTCTACTGATACAACTGTTTTCCTCTATTTTTTATAAACAAAGAATAATTTTTATAAATTATTTATTGAAACTTAAAGTGTAACTACTTGTATATATTCATCACAAGGAGAAATATAAGAATCATTAGCAACTGAATTCACTGTATTTAATGTTAATGATAAAAGCATGTTGTATATTTAACAATAAACTTTAAATAGTTTACTATATTTCTATGATATATATAATTTAATTTCGTGTTTAGGATAAATATTACCTGTGATTTCTTGGGTGATTTATACTTTCAATTTTGTGAATCTTTTTGTAGTTTAATTAAACATTTAATTTTAATACATCTTAATAAAATTTTAATTTATTTTAAATGCTCATGCAATTTTATTTTATTAATTAGTAAACAAATATATAAATTAATTTTTTTATATATTCATATATTAAATAACTAACTTATTACTTCCGAAATTCATAAACAGTAAAATGCAACCAAAAAATTAAATTATTAAATATGTTTTAATTGTACACTATTTATACAAAAACTTCATAATAATTTCATCAGAATAATTTTAATTTTTTACTAAAGCCTAGTGTCCTATATATATAGGACGGTCCATTTCTCAAAATGTCTGAACCGAATGTGACCGAACAAAGTACAATTAAATCCATGAATATTCTTGTCTCGTTTTAGACGTACCATTTTTTAAAATATTTATTAAGCTTAATTTTTCGTTTTCTCTCATATTACTTCATATTATCAACGTTTTTACGCAGAGTCAGGGTGGCGATACTTCGAGCCTTAGGCAAAACTCGTGACCCGGTCATTGCCAATGAGAAAATAAATTTATTTAGTGTATTCATATAAAAGCATAAGAGTTATTACACTACAACTATATTCACTTTGTTCGCTAACCATTTAAATTTAATTAAATATAAAGGAAAAACATTAAAAATATTATTATGAGCTCCTTCGGTATCCGGCCATAAACAAATATAATTGTATTGTTTAGCTAGGCCTGTTTTAGGTACAATTTTGAACACAACCTGAATAAATTTAAAACAGTACAGAAAAATGGACAGGGTGAAAAAGTTGTCAATTTGTGTGTCTGTTAAATTATGAAAAATACACAAATTATGTACGGTTCAAACCTTTAAATATACAGTAAAATTTCACTTCACTTATGTACACAATTTTTGGTCACAGGTGCGGTTATAGAAAACTACACATAGAGAATTGTAATTTGAGTGCAACACTTAACTATACTAATTCAACTAAAAGTTTACTACACGTTTAGGTAAACAAAATATAAAATAAAACGAAAAATTTTAATAATACGGTACGTCCTTTGCAATATACACTAGTTTACACTTTTATACACAGTAATGTACTGATAATACAGAGTAATATAATGAGTAGTACAGTAGAATATTGAAATACAGAGTACAGTCAATGCAACTTGCTTGTTGTAGAGTTCATGTAGCTTCTGTATAGTACAGCAATATACAGATTACTTAGAGGGAATATGTTTATGATACAGTAGTAAGGATTTATTGAAATATTGTATATTAACAGGAAAATTGAAAAGTTACTAAACAGACGTCAGTAAATATACAGAAATGCGCAAGTGTCAGAAAAAAGTTTCAATAATTAAATTGACTTTTACATCAAACTAGTCCATAATTGTTTTGTTGCAAAACATGTATCAGTGACTTAAATAGTTAAACTTTTAAAAATACAAACACATTTTGTATCCAATAATTTAAGTATCTGCAATTGTCATTTTTTTTACTAAATTCTAAGATATATTTAATTTGTGTAATATACATAAAAATTATTTTATTTGATGGTCATGTATGAGTGGGAACTTGGAAAACGGCTCCGAAACTAAAGTGTGAGAATTCTAGTGTAGCGATAAATTTTATTTAAAGTTTGTAGAATTTATAATTTAATGTAATATTTTAACGCTAAAAGTGACACATTTGTCACCTTTTGTGGAAAAGGGTAAAAGTAAAACTTCCCTTTAAACAGATGTTATCACACATCTCCGACAATCATCTGTTCATCTGAGTTAGGACAAATATCCTGTTAGACAATAGAATATCCCGTCAGGTGTTATAAATCCAGAAACCCGATAGGAGGGAATCTGAGATAAAAAGAAGTCAAATTTACGATATCAGGAAGACGGCTCTAGAGGAGAGAAGACCCTGTATCCGAGAGACGGCCATAGAAGTAGAAAAGGCATAACTCCGGCAAAATACATGTCCAACTCCCCTCCTCCAGGCGATTCCCGTCTCCATATCCAAAGGCCGAATCAACCAGATTAGAGGTATCGTTATTAAACTCTCTTATATTTAGAGGTGTAGTTAGTTCATTTAGTCGTTAGCTTATTTTCTTTATACTTCTTATATATATATTAAATTCTGTGTTTTGTAGCTGCTCCTGTCGAATCATTCAATTTATAAGGACTCCGATCGAACTTAACTGCAACTTCCCTCCTCACTCGAATAATAGCCCTCCTAAACGCCATCCAGTGACATCGTGAGCGGATCCTAACGACTCGACGATTAGAGGGATAACCCTCGCAAGTATTCTCACAAAAGCAACAAAGCTCAGTTCTGCTTAAACAGGTTTAAACAATACGTTTAGTTTAGAAACACGAGGTTTTCCGATTTTGTTGCTCACGTAAACGAAAATAAAAAGTTACTTCAAGACACTCCTATTTTGGCCACTTAACCAAATAGTGACAGGGCCATCAAGATGAAGTTTAATTCGTAATAAAAATGGTGTAAAATTCTGGAAATTTTAGAGGTCTCCACATAAGCCAGATGACCACAAAGCCAGGTTTTATCGTAATTGTCTTTTGGTTCATGCTATGTCAGTAATGATTTTCTTTTATTTCAATGAAATTTGACTAGCAGCCTGTAACATACTGTTAAAGATGCATATACGTATAAATATAGAAAAGTTAACAGGTTTTTTGACGTTTCATTTGTTGTAATTCTTTCAAATTAGAAAACACGGTATTCACAGTCTCGAACATCTGAAAAAGTTCATTTGTAAATTAAAATATATAACTCGAAGTAAATGTTGTAATAGAAAGACAATAGATTACCTGAAAAACTGTCGTTTTACTAATGACAAAATCCAGACATTCCAGTCCTTTTCGAGGACCATCAAGTAGTTTTAACATACAAATCAGCTAAATATATACGATTAAATAAATACGCAGATACTAATTAATTTATATTTATATTATTTTCAATATATTAGTTGACGAAAGTTTAGTTACCTTCAATCTGTCGTTTGTAGTCAGTCGGAAAAAACAAAATCTTTTTAATTCTATTAAAGGAGACATTGCCTGAAATGAAATAACTTTAAATCAGAATCATTAAACGATAAATTAACGCCTAAGAGAAAAAATAATGCATTCTAACCATAACAGAAATTTTCGAAAAAATCTGCATACCAATTTTTATAATAATAATGATAATTATCAAAACAATTATCACATGAACATCTTTATAAATGTATGAAATTATGTAAAGAGTGAAGCTGAATAAAAAAGTCGCCGCATAATACAAAATTGTGGAAACTTTACTAAACATATTATTGAATTCATCAAGCTGGATACAAACTTCTTTGTAATTGTCGCGAATGCTTTGAAGAAATTTACTGATATTTCCATTTCGTGGATGAAATTCGGAAATATCTCTTGCCAAATCTTCAAACTTCTGACTTATGATTATTAGCAAAATCAGCAACAAAGCTGCAAAAATGTCACAACCATGAACCAAGAAGTAATATACATTAATAAAAAAGTAACAGAAAGCAGCCGTCATCTGATTCGTAGATTTCGCTATAAACCAAAAGGAACGAAATGCGTGAATGATATTCATATAGATTATTAATCCAATATAAACTGTAACCGCACAGTTTATGTTAAATAACTGTACTTTTTGGATTCTCTTAATTTCTCTCGAATTGAAGAGGCCGAAATTAATGCCTCGTTTCTTCCTTTCGTTTAATACAATGAGAAGAAATATAAGAAACATGGCGTTTTGGTAAATAATGTGCAAACCCAGAGTGATTAATCGATTCTTTCCAAATATATCCAAGTGATTGATACATAAATGAACCGAAATTGATTCGGGTAAGAAAACCATCAGATACAAAATAATGGTACCCAAGAAAATAATCAAAAGTATTATTGTTTGATGGAATTTATGCCAAAAAGATTGTCGATTCTGTCGATGATTACATCTGATTACGTTATTTATACCGATTAATTTGAGGAAATTAATCGTTGGAGACAGAACTTTGCAAGCGCATCTATCGATATCCGAGAGTATTTCCA